ATAAGGTAACAACATTATAATGAATTGTAAAAATGTGTTATTTATTATAATTGAAATGGCTCTCATTCAGTCAATTTTGGTTTTAGAGTCATGGTTAGTTGGTCAAAATGACTTAAAAAAATTCAGTCTATCCGAATATGGTAGTAAAAATACCGGTTGATATTAAAAAAAAAAATTAGTTGTATTGCGTATACGCGTACCAAGAGGGTTAAAAATTTGAAATTTATCTGAAAATGTGTATTTATTTACCACTAGCTTGTAAAAAAAAAATTCGATTTATTAGAACATAATCCGGCCGAGAAATTCAGTGTTCTCTAAATTGGTGAATACACGGTACATAGTATTTTCTAAAATCAATACTGCTAGTGATGGGTGGTATCGTACATAGTCAGGAGCACGAAAAATTATTGCTGCCCGTCATGCGCCAAGTGGTAGTTTTCTAAAGTGGTTATCAAATCATTAAACTAAAAGCTGTGCCACCCGGGTGCCAAGGTTCGGTCAACGCTCATTGTTTGTCCCTGTGAATACAGGTACTTAACAGTACAATGTTGAGAACCAACGGTTACAACGGTTGGTATGAACAACGGGTCGCGGGCGTCAACGCTTATTTTTCGTGCTCCCGACTATAGTTTTGACTGTTGATAATTTCAAAAGTCAATCGAGTCAATTGGTTCTACTTTCTCTCAGACAATTATTCGGTTAGTTTATGAAAAACGATTGAATAAATAAATAGTTAACTATCATATATTTTGATAGTTTTCACTTGTTAGTGTTCATCATTAAATTAGAAATACGTGTAGGTACCGGTCCAATGTGCGACCTACACATATATTTTCGGTCTAATGTGCGACCTAAATTATAGGTATTGACCTATGTCCTACACTGCAATTTTTTTTTAGTTATTTTAGTTATTAATTCATTTATAATAAATTAATTATCCTGAGTTTCGTTTTTTACTCGTTCTCTCACATTCCTTTAATAATCCACCTAACTCTTCGTCGTTTCTCACTTTGGTACAACGATTATTATTTTCATTTAGTGTTGGTAATAATTCTCGGTCTTGCAAGAATTGTACACACATTCTTTCATCGTGTATAATATGTCGATATAGGTATCCTAATGTAGCACTCATAATAAAAACTACAAATTTACTAAAATCACAATAACGCCTTATTTAAACTTATTAAAAAAAACTCACAATAACGTAATTCGATACGGTTAACAATTATCACGTTTGTATCTATATTTTCTACACAAAAATAAATATATTTCCCCATGTCATACAAGAAAATACACACATTGGCCGTAGGTCGCACATTAGCCCGGCAAAGATAAGAATAGGTCAATTATCAGTTGTAGGTCGCACAATGGACCGGTGCCTACGTGTATTATAGCCATTAGCTTAAGTATAATTATACATTTTAAGTATTTATATATATATAATATCTATCCCATAACGTAAATATTTTTTACAAATAATAAAAATGGTGAGATACACTCAGGGGGTTTAACTCCCCTCCGAAATATTAGAAAGAAATGTATTAAAAAAAAGACCTGACTTACAAATTTAATAGTTATTTAAAAGTTTCCTATGAGACTTGTAAATAAAATATATAAATTATATAATGAGTAATCAAACATATTATTAAGCATCATTTTCCATTTTTCAAAACCCGCCGAAATTTTTTTCTGTGTTTGCCCCTAAATACAAGAGTCGATTAGATATAGTGGCAGATAACTAATATTAGTTAATAATTGTTCTTATTCATCATTTTATATCATTGTACCATTGAATTAAAAAAAGGATTCTGAAAAAAAAGCTGCAACCAAGAATTATCGATATTTTAACTCACAATAATAGTGTACATATGTGAAACTTATTATTACATTTTCAAGATTTTTTTGATCGACAAAATGTATTCAATTTATATTTTACGAAGAGAAACTAATAAAAGAAGAAAATTTGAAATATTCAGAAATAGTACAAAAAAAGTAAAAATCTTTATATCTCTATACACTATATAGGGTACAATTCTCTGTAGAACGATGATACTCGTATACTCAAACAGTGAAAATCTTAAGTTTCTGCAATAATAATTTTTTAAGTTATGGCGAAAAAAATTCGATTCTGTCGAAACCGAAATAACGTTAAAGTTACGTCGTTTATTTTGAAGTTTGTCATCAGTTTTCCCTGGTTATTTCAAATTTGGAAAACTTAAATAGTACAGAAAATTACCTTTTAAATTTAATATTGATTTTTAACTCGGTGCAATGAGTACAATATTGTGCTCAGCGTTGCCAACATATTTTGATAGGTACATCGTACATCTATAAAATTATCGTATCAAGCGAATAGTCGGCCTATAAAAATGTTTTTCTCACTTCGCTCAAAATATTCTGAATACTACAATTCGCCGTGTCGTGTCGTGTTGTGTAAAAATGCTCATAAAGAGATATGGTGCTGGTCTTACAACAAGCCGTGTGATAATAAAGGCATAATATGTGATACGTGATTATCTATAGTTAAATCACGGAATAATTTCATATATTCTGTATTCCTGTGGTTTAATTATGCATTTATATCAATAATATTTTATGTAATTTTTGGTTATCATATAGATCAGGGAAACGCAACCTGGAGGTCACCAAATTTTATTAAGGAGTCGGCAATAGTTTAACACCAAATGGACTAACTATATATTATGTATTTTATTTTATATAACTTTATATTTAAATTTTAGATTTTATGTAACTCTAATTTTGTATTTTTTTTTTTTTTATGTTTTGGATTAATTTAATTAAAAAAATATTAAAATTGCCTAAAACTAATAATTTAATTTATACGAATAAAATGTTTGTATGTATTAAGTGTATATAAAGTATATATTATAGTATAAACACTGGTGTCCCACGAGCGCCCTTGAAGTGTGCCGCGATAAATCTATAAATTCTTCTATAAGTATGTATTTATCAGCTTATTATCGATGAAAACTGATCGAACTAATAGTAGATACATATAATATTATGTATTGTAAGTATGCCCGTCGCAGCCGTTTCAATCGATCAATTGTATTAATATATTTCACATTAAATAATACTCTAATAAAGTAGACTGTAAACAGTGTATATATATATATATATATATATATAAAATATGGTTCACATAATACATGGAATGGTGTGCTGCGAACATTTTGTTGGAGATAAAGAATGCCGCACTGTTCAAGAGGTTGAAAACCACTGTATTATACACTAACATAATGTTAGTAGGAAGGGGGATCACTTCATCGAAATAAATGAATTTGAGGGTCGTGGATCAAAAAAAGGTTACAAAAAATGATGCTTATATTATTTATATATAGTGGTGTTAGTGGGGGCACTTCGATAATATTGCCTATTCAGTCGTTCACACAGATACATAAAATAACAATATATACAGTTTAGTATATTTGTGGTTGGCCATGTTTTTATAGGGAACTGTTAAATACAAGTTTGTTTACTTTGTAGCTATAATACTCTAACACAACTTTGCTCACGATTGATGGGGACAGTTTTGAATTTCGAATAGAAAGATTCAGTTTTAACACATTTTATTTACAATTTATTATCATAGTATAGATATGTATGTAAACGAGTTATTCGTAATTATGGTTCTTTTGTTTATTGTCGGAAAAAAATTGACGTGACCAGTGACTGCGTCGGTAAATTTGGTATTTTCTCAACTTGGCCATCGGCCGATAAAATCGTAATAAAACCGATTATTACCTGCCCAATAAAATATTTACAATTAATTATGGTATAATCATAATCTGAGTTTAATAAATTTAATTAAATATACTTTGTCTGTTAATAATAACAATACAATAATATAATAATATATACTATCTACATACTATTACAGTAAATAAAATAATCAAGTACAATGTGCTGATGGGGTTCAGAGTTTTAGTTTTTGCGGGGCGGATTAAGACAGCGGTTTGCCAGTTTCCGACTATTTTACTTTGTAAAAACTCATAATTCTGGATTTTATATTATATTAAAAATTAAATTAATAAGTAACATAATTTTCTTTTTTCTTTCTGATCACACTGATATTTCCTCTTAAAAAATGCTGGATTTATTTAGACATCACGAATTATTATGGCTCTTAGCAGGAAAAAGTTTTAAACCAATGACGTCGTAGCCCACGAAACCATGACAACAGTGATTACGAGAAAATCAATGTTTTGTATTTCTTTTTTAAATTGAATTTAGAATTAATTTTGATGCTTTTATTATAAGTTTAAAGTTTACTTCATTATATTTACCCATATAGTTTGCGAGACAAAGTTTCTTTCCTATACTAATTGTTTTCTTCAATTCTTAGTCATTTAATTACTTATTATTTTAAAAACTATACTTAGATATACTGGCGCAACTAAAGCTCAAATATAAGGGGTGCTGAAATTGCTGAAAATAAAATTGAATGGTATTTCACTGTAATTACTATAGATTATATAGATCTGAATAAAAAAAACTGGTGTGCTAAATTTGAACTTAGGAGTGTTAAAAACCCTATTGCGCTTATGATAACTTAATTGCATGGGCGCCGACTACTGAGGTGCCGTGGTGCTCAAGCATCCCATAACCTATTCCATGGGGTGCGGAGCACCCCACGAAATAAAAAAACAACAATATGAAATTACGTAATATTATTTCCACGGTCACACGATATAAAATAAAGTATTTTTGGAGATTTTAATATTAACCTATTACGTGTGGCCGCGTGGGCTAAAAATACATATCGATATTGCTTGAAATTCCCGTATTAGTATCCGAAAAATGCGTATCTAATGGACTGAACCGATATTATCTATTTTCTAAGATTTCGTGATTCAGTATTTCTATAATAGTCGTAATTGATAATTTGTATCAATTAACCGTCGACCATTCGATATCGAAGCACATTGCAGTGATTATAATTTATAATAGCATAGTTTTGTGTATTCTTAACTTTTAAAATGGATAAGTGGTTAATAAAAAAATCAATTAAAACCACAGATCACTCTACTGATGCGAATAACAGTTCTAACTCTTTGAATGTTGAATCGAAAAGTGAAATTTCTCAAAAAAAAAGGGTGTTTCAAGAAAAATGGTTACAATTATATCCGTGGTTATTATATGATCGCGTGAAAGAAAAATCATTTTGTTCAACATGTTCAAGTGCTGTTGAAAATAAAGTTGATCTTCCTGCATCTTCTGTGCCTGATCAAAATTTTAAAAACGCATTTGTAGTTGAAGGATTTTCTGCGTGGAATAAAGCTTTGGAACGATTCAAATTCCATGAAGGTAAATATTTAAATAACATTATTTAGCTATTCCAGAGTAGAAATCGATTTTTATCAATTTTTGTCTTAATTTATCTTTGTAGTCAGTTATTTTTTTCGTTTACACTTTTCTACCTCACAAAAATATTTTAAATACACAATTGTAATAGATAATCGTAGATATGATATTTTAAATTATTATATAAATAAATATTAAGATAAAATTATCCCAAGTTGGGTTAATTGCAGAGTTGGGTCCCCAACTGCAGTATACTGCACAAATTCATAATACAAAATATTTATCGCATTATAACAATTCGAATGTATGTATTTTTTGGTAGTAATTTCCATCGAGCTTCAGTTTTATCTACGGCAACACAAAAAAAAGGATTTAACATATGTGCATCTATGAGTATTTCTAAAACTAAAGAAATGAATGACGCCCGGTCCACTCTTTTAAAAATTATTTCATCTCTTTATTTAACGAGGCAAGGTTTAGCAGTGCGTGGTCATGGTGACATAAACTCAAATATTCAGCAATTACTCATTTTACGTTCTAATGATGTTCCGGAATTAAAAAGTTGGTTGTTAAGAACTAAATATAAATGGTTATCTCATGATATTCAAAATGAAATACTATCTCTTTTATCCGACGAAGTTCAATTAAATATTGTTTCTGAAATAAAAAATGCATTCTGTTATTCGATAATATTAGATGAAACAAGAGATATTTCAAATATAGAACAAGTTTCTGTGTGTATTCGCATAGTAGACAAACATTTAAATATAGCAGAACATTTTTTAGGATTTTTCGAAACTCCTTTTACTGACGCTGAAACATTATTTAATTTGGTAATGAACACTTTAAATAGATTTGACATAAATATATCTAAATGCCGCGGATAATGTTATGATGGAGCAGCTAATGTCAGTCGACATATTAGTGGTTTACAAAAACGAATAATCGATGTTGGATCTAGAGCAACTTTTGTTCATTGTACAGCCCATACATTAAATCTTGTAGTGCAAGATGCAATGTAGAATATTGATAAAATTCGAGACTTTTTATCTACTTTACGTTCATTGATAGCATTCGTAAAAGATTCACCAAAAAGACAGGCCATATTTAACTCTTTTTAAGCTGAATAAAGTACAAACGGTCTTTCAAAATACTGTTTCATTGTGACCTTTTTGTCCCACAAGATGGTGTGTTAGAATTGTTTCATTAAAGACTATTAATTCAAATTAGAATATACTTCACACATTCCTTAATCAACTAGCCACGGAAAAAAATGAAATAGGTGCTAAGGCTAGTGATTTTTCGAAACAACTTTATAAATTTTATTTTTATTTTTTGATACATATATGATATTTATTTTCAAGAGAATAGAAATTTTGAATTCGGAACTTCAAAAAAAGTCATTGCATTTCCAAGATGCAATATTAAAAATACAAGCTATCATAATTTCTATAGAAGAAAAACGAAAATCTGGGTTTGACCAACTGAGAAAATATTAATAATAGATCAAAAGAGTTAGGTTTAGGTAAAATGAAGCTCCCTAAACAAAGAAAAATTCCTAAACGTTTAATTGAAGGGAAACAGGGACATTATTTTAAGTCAGCTTAAGATCATTATAGGGCACTATTTTTTGAAGTGATTGACACCACACTATCTACTCTGTATACTAGATTTCAAAACAACGTTATTGAACATCTTGCAAATGTTGAAAAATTTATTGTTAACCCCAAAAAAATTAATACATCAATTATAACTGACTATTATGGCTCAGACTTTGATGAGACAAAGTTAGAGTTACATCGTAATATTATGTTGGATATCGCTAAGTCGAAAGGATTTAATGTATCAACAGTATCGGATGTCATCGATTTTTTTAAAGAAGAATTTTATTTACAAGATTTGGTACCGGAATTGGTAAAATTAATTAAAATTATATTAACCGTACTAGTTTCTTCGTGTACAGCAGAACGTTCTTTTTCTGCTCTTCGGCGTTTAAAAACATTTCTACGATCAACAAAGGCTCAAACACGACTTAACGATATAGCGGTATTACATGTACATAAGGAAGAACAAATAAACATTGACGATGTTGCCAATAAGTTTATTAATAAGACCAAAGTAAGGAAAAATACATTTGCAATTTGTTGAACATGTAGAAATATAAACCTACTGTATAACTTTTTATTTTAACATTTTAAAATCTGTATAAAGACGCACAGAATGTTATTTTTATTTATTTAAAAATTAAATTAATTTTAACCTATATTAGTTAAAATGCACTTAAATTATTAACCAAAAGAATAAATAAATATTTTGATGAAAATATTTTAGTTTTATTTTGCTTGCGAGCCTTCATTATTTTAAGAAATAAGGCGAAAACGTTTTTATAATTTTTCCAACTTTTACCTTCGGGCATATATTTTAGGGATAAGAAAAAAAATAACCTTATGGTTAACCATTATTTATTTATTTATTTATTATATATTATTTATATATTATTACTATTTATTTGTCAAAAAAAAATTTAATCTGGTACCTACAACTTTGGATTTTGAGCACCCCATGGAACTTGGAAAACCCGGCGCCCATGCTTAATTGATTAAATTGTTTTATATTATGAGCACAATAAATGTATTGATTTTACGAAGATGTGTTATTTGTGTAAAAAATATGTAGAATAGTAAAAATGATCAGATCTTTACAAAAGTTTTCTAATAAAATTATTTAATTCAATTAATTAAGAAACTACCTATTTCATAGATTTTGTGAATTTAATAATTTGTGTATTATTATATACATAGATAAAAACCTGAAATGGACGGATTCGAAAACTTAATAAAAAAAAAAATTATAAAATAAAATTAAATCTTATATTAAAAGCACTAAAATTAACTATTAATTCAAATTTTAAAAAAATTCAAGACATTGATATTTTCGTTATCACTTTTATCATAGTTTTATGGGTTATGACCATTGAACTATATGATAACTGGAATGCTTACTAGCCATATGAACAACAATGTAAATAAATGTGATAAACAAAGATAACAAATATATTAGGTAATGTTTTCTCTCTCTTTGTTTATTATTCTATTCAACAATTTAATGTAAATCAAAAATCTTATTAATTTAATCGGTTTTAATTTAATATTGTATTTTATAATTTGTTTAACACCTAATGAATTTATATTTACGTACCTTAGGTTTCATATAATAAAATGGTTAACTATTGTAGTGCCTATAATTGCACAAATTCAAGCGATATTAATAAAGGATTAATTTTCCATAAGTTCGTACTTAAATTATTTTAGAATATAATACCTATTTATTATTTGCTATTAAGTTTTTTCATTGATTTTACTTAAAACTTCAATTCTTAGTTTTTTTAATTATATACTTAATTATATATTAATATTACTACTAATACATTATTATATAATATTAAAACATTATTATATATTATACAAAGTAAATTATTTTAAAATTACCATTTTGTATTAATTTAAATATTAAAATAAATGTACGTGTGCACCTATGCAGACTACTTTTATATTGAATAATAATCCAATATCTACCAACAGCAAACATAATTTTATCCTGTTAAATCTAAAAACCTTTATAAAAAATATATATTTATAGTGATGTTTAATATATTTAATATGAGGGAAACATCTATTCTCTCCAATATAAATGCCACTAACGAATGTCTGTAATTATTAATAATTTTTAATTTTTTGGTTCAGAAAATTATTTCTATCACTGACACTATATACATTCATTAGTACTTGATACGTGGTAGTTTAAGCCTTCAAGCTTAAAAATAATTATTTGATAACCAGTTTTGTTTTCAAACACATATTGCAACAGATTCACGGTTTTAAATACCTTAAAAATTTTGTTAAATCATTTTTAATTGAAAGCAAAACAATTTTTAAATATATTTTCCTATATAGCAGTACATGTTAAACAAAGAAGGAAACACCTAATTGATATGCTATCTTTTTTTAACACGATCGCTCGGGCAACACTGTCTAGTGAACGTTCCAGTTATCATATAATTCAATGGTTATGACGTCATGGATTCTACAAAACATTTTTACTTTTATTCCTGATATTGTTCTATGCCGTCAGGAGCCTCTAAACACAGGAATGCACCTTAAGCATTCTGCGCATGCGAGTAATTTATTCACCACTATCATAATGTTAGGCTGTTATCAATATATTATATCAAATCACTATTGTACGGTAATAATATACAAGCGTCTAGAGACCACAGTTATGTATAATAAACATTATTATACATATCTGTGGTAACAGCCTAACATTATGATAGTGATGAATAAATTGCGCGCATGCGCAGAATGCTTAAGGTGCATTCCTGTGTTTAGACGCTCCAATGTTTGCATTTGTCTTATAACCGGTGAGCATTCCAGTTATCATATAGAATTCAATGGTTTTCAACGCTCTTATGCTGTCCGTGTTATTTCTTATCAGTGTCCTTTCTGATAATCGTATTCTGTGGTTGTGCTAATGAGCAAAACTTCTATTATTTGTGCGGTAACCTAACCTCTGATATGTACTATCTTCATCTCCCTCACATTTCTCTCAACTATTTGAGTTCGGTCACCTTGGACCTAAACCTTCATTCATCTCGATTATTTTATCCCCTTTGTGTACATCTACAGCCCTCGTATCATCCTTCATCATATCTAAGCATCTCTTTTATTGTCTTCTTCTTCCTCTTTTCCCTTCAATGTTGATTTTCATAACCACTGTTACTGATTTTGTTTCCTCTCACATCATCACACGCTCAAACCATTTGTTTATATTCTCTCATCTGGTTAATCTTTAATTGTCGATCCCAATAAAATAATTTAAATTATCAATATCAGAAGGACATTTTTTAGTACGGTTGTAAAATAATTGTATTTTTTTGTACGATAGTAAAAATCAATTGTACCTACTTAAGACAATGTAATTCACTGCGTTTTTCTATCTTCATAACACAAGTGTTAGTCAATTGATATTGAAGAAGAGAAATTGACTCAAATTTGTGGGCGTTCATGGAATAATATATCTTTACACACAATTATAAATATTTTCACATTTGGTTATACTGCATTTTTGTTATTGCTGTTCCATGCGGCCGTCCCGGACGTTTTCTGTTAAAAAAGAGATTGGCAAAAAGTTTGAAATGTTGATGTTCCGATATATCGATGTATCTATTTAATCTATTTGAAACATTAATGTTTACTTTAATAATTTTTAAGAAAAATTGTATCTGTGTTATATGTATGTATGTTATATATAAAATGTAAAATATTTAAATAAACACGTTATTTAAACACCGGACTTCGTATTAGAAAAAAATCGATTTTTTTTCAAAACATCGCAATAAAAACATCGCTGTAGGGTTTCGATATATCGAACGAAAACATCTATGTTTTTAAAAAATCCATGTATTTTGCCATTCTCTTGTTTAAAGCATTACCGTTTTTTATGCTACGTCGACTGATGACTTCTCGCGTCTATAAACGGTATTTAGTAAAAGTTTACATTTTCAATTTTAATTTTTGTTCTATACTTTGTGTTTTTACAGTTGCCATGCCATCGAAGTGTTATGCTATAATTGGTTGTCTTACTAAATGCAGTGATAAAATTACTCCTCGTCATTGATTCTCCCAAAATCAGTGCCGGGTTAAGGGGAGAGCAAAGGGGGCAGTGATATAGGTATTAGTCATAATACAAACTGACCACTCAATTCTTAAAACTTTGAAATTCTATAATCTTTTTTATTTGTCATTCTTAATTAATTTAATCTCTAGTGATAGTGTTTTAAATATTTAAAAGCTATTTATCAAAAAATATATATTTTACAAAATGGGACTATCCTAATATGGAAACTATAGTTTAAAAAATGCAAGCACAAATTTCCCATTAAAACAAGAAAATTGTTAACATACAATTCCATATTATATATTTTTTTAAAAATTTTTATTTCTTTAAGTATACATATTCAAAACAGTTTCATATTATATTATTTAGTATTCATAGGGGTCACATAAAAAAACTAAATTTATGATACGCAGGTATACGGATATACTGGCTATACTATAAACAGTAAGAAATTGAATTTTATCTTTTTCTACAAAAATCAAATATACCAAACATATTTCCTTGTTATCCCATTTATTAAGCACGGTCATTATTTTTAAATTTTAAACATCTATTTTTAGTTTTATTTCACGGAAAACTAGTTTAAAAAACCGTTACACTGATGCAAGTCAATATTATAGTCTTAAATTTTATTTTAACAATTTTAATTTCGGCAGCTAAATATTTCTCGTTGATCGTAGATTCTACTCCCGATATCATAAAGTTTGACCAATTAACAATTGCCATTAGATACGTTAATTTAGACGGGACTGCAGTAGAACGGTTTTTATGTTTTATTCCATCGGTTGGACATAAAAGTGAAGAAATGGAAGTCGTAATATTAACGACATTAACTGAATTAAATATCAACATAAATTATTGTCGTGGAAAATCCTACGACAATGCCAGAAATATGTCAGGTATGTATAATAGTTTACAAGCTCGAATCAAAGAAAAATCAAAAAACGCAATTTTTAGCCCATGCTCAGCACATTCCTTAAATTTGGTTGGTTGCCATGCTACTGATGTAACTAAGAAAGGTTATAACTTTTTTTCACTTGCCCAAAATATCTATGTATTATTTTCTGCATCGACGTGGCGGTGGGAACAACTTTGAATAAGTTTGAAAAATATACCAAACTCAATGTTTGTAAAAAACTTATGCCCGACGAGATGGTCATCAAGATTCAGTGTTTGTAAGAGTTTGAAAATTGGGTATAAGGAGTGTTAAATTCATTGAAATCTATAACTTCAAATTTGGATCAGAAAGTCGGTATAAGACATGAAGCAGAATCCATGTACAAAAAAATTGACTTGCTCAAATTCTCATTTATGATAGCTCTGTGGACTCCAATATTAGAAAGATTCGACGCGACAAATAAAAATTTACAACGTATTAATATTGATTTATCTTGTGTTGTGAAATTGTATTAATCTCTAGAATTGTATGTAAAAAATATGAGAAATAGATTCGATAATATATTAGTTGAAGCAAAGCAAATTAGTGGGCATCAAATATTTTCTTACAAAGATAAAAGAAATAAACGTAAAAAATGTTTTCATGATGACCTCAATGTTCAAGAAACAATATTTCATGGACAAGAGAAATTCAAAAGTGAAACATTTTTACCTATTTGTGACACAATCATTTTATGTTTAAATGAAATAAAAATGGCATATATTGAGATTAATAAGATATTTGGTTTTTCTTAAATATGGAGGAAATCGACAATGAGATTTTACGTGAAAAATCAAAACAATTAGTAGCTATTTATAGTGAAGATTTAGAACTTGACCTCGAGAATGAGATTATTCAATTTAAAACTATAGTGAAAAATTTTTCAGAAGATGAAAAATTATTCATGCATAGTTTGCTTGAAGCATTAACTATATCAACGTTAAATGATTTATTTCCTAACGTGGAAACTTTTTGTATCCATACCATGCTTAAACGCTAGTGGGGAGAGATCATTCTCAGTTTTAAAGAGAGTGAAGGACTACCAAAGAACATTATTATCTAACGAAAAGATGTCATCATTGGCTCTAATGTCTATCGAAAATTGTATCCTATAAAGTATGGATTGGAATGATTTAATAAAAGAATTTGCTTCACAGAAAATTAGAAAAAAATTCTAAATTTTAACTTGTGTTTAAATGATTATAATATTTAACTAATGTTTATAATGTTTATACTTACTAATTATTAGTTCTATGATATTAAAACTACCGATTTCTATATTACCGATAATATAAATGCTAAATATAAATTTATATGCTTATAATTATATATAATCTAAACAATTGTAACGCTGTTGTTATGTATGTTATTTTTTAAGATGAGTACAGGTTTGTAAAGGGCGGAATTTTAAAATTTGCCCCCAGGCAGCATATTTGTTAACCCGGCACTGCCCAAGATCAAACTATATTCGATATTTGTGAGAAGCGGTCTAGAAATAATATAAATATATATATATATATATATAAATCAATTTACATTGTTTAAAAATCATCTGTTATATGCGATAAACATTTTGAATAGAGTTGTAGAATTCCTGGAATCAAGAAACTCATTCATAACTCTGTTCCAACATTAAATTTTCCAGTAAAAGCCTGTAATTTAAATTTATGTTATTACTTTAATCTGATGTTAATTAATATAATTATTGTTTTATTATGTATTCCATAGACATATGTTATTTCTTAAAGTCATCTTTAAGAAATTTGTGTTACATTTTTATTACCAGACAGTTTAAATTATTTACTATAGTTTGATATTTTTAAAATATCAATAAACAAATGCATTAAACTTTCTTCTGTGTCAATTCGTCATACCGTATAAAACTTATTACTATAATCCTATTTTATATATGTGTATATCTAAATGTAATTATTAACAATATTATTTTGTGCTTGAGATATTAAGAATAATGAGTATTATAATTAAAAATATTCGTATTGCTCATTTCTGATCATTGGTTATGCTTTAATAGTAGGTAGTTTGTTATTTATCTTGAATCTTGAACTACGCAATTCTTAAAAAAATATTATTGCCTGAAGCTATATCGACATTAAAAAATGAAAATATTAAAAATCTGTTTTTATTTTTTTTTTAAATTGCATAAATAGAATAAATAATAATTTGTTTTCATGCTATTACTTATATACATTTGTTTTCAGGTATGACTGAAGAAATTGTAAGTGCAAACAATTCTACAACCAATAAAATAATAGATTTGACCGAGGATTCTTTTTCTATGGACATTAGTATTGATTAAATCAATATTTTATTATACTTTGACACAAGTTATAAAAAAAGTATTTAAATATAAAATTCACTAATATTGTCTATTTTTACTAATGAAATCTTATTTTAAGGTAGAAAGTAAAAGTGTTTCAACATTATGTTCAAACACAGAAACCCAAAGGTGTATTAGGTGAAATAAATATGAAAAAATCATCACAGTTAACTCTGCGGAAATCTCTTCTTTATAATGTTAAAATGTTTAAATGAAAAAATGTAGTTGTACAAAAACTTTTTTAAGAAACATCTTGAAATACCATGAGTAAGTACCATGTATATCTTGAAAAATAAAGAATATTAAGGTGTTGATTAAAGTCCAAGTGTTTAGTTAATATGTTGAAGCTATAATGAAGAGAATATCCATAATTACAAATTAATCAAATTGTACTAGTAAGATATTTAATTAATAGTGTATATGAACACTAAAATATTATACTATCTTAAGGTTTTAACATTTTTACTTTTTTTAGGATACAAAAACATTGATTTTTTTTTTATATTATGGTTTAATTAAATTAAAGAATTATTAAAATTGTCTAAAATTAATGATTTAATTTATATGAATACATTTTTTTATATATTAAGTATGTATTATAAAATAACATAATGTTGGTAGAAAGGGGGATCTTTTTATTGAAATTATTGAATTTGAGGGTCGCGGATCAAAAAGGTTGGTTACCACTGCTCTAGATGAATATTTTTTAATTCAAGAACGTCAATATTTAATGTTACTTATTTTATACAAATAGAGAAATAGCAGATATGTATAGTTTGATTATAGATCTATTGAAATTTAATTTCTATAAATCTGTATATAATAAAAATAATGCATTTGTTAAATTGTATTGATTTGTTTAAAATGTTCCTTAAAATAGCTTATAGTGGGGGTAACGGTATTTTTTTTCCCTTCGATATTTCGGTATGATATTTCATACCGGTATGAGTCGGTATACCGAAAATATCGTTATATCGGTATTTTGATTCGGTATATTCGATATTTTTAAAATTAACGGTATTCCAGTATTTTTAATATTTGGTTATATAATATATTATAGTTATGATTTAATTTATTATTAAAAAGAATAATATATCATAAGATTAATATGATTTAATTTATTTCTTAAAACTACAAAACAATACTGACCCGACGGTTCGACCCATATCGATATTTGAATATGTTTATTATTTAGTATATAAGTGTTAATATAATATACAAGGCCCATGTAATTTCCTACTGAAAATTTTGTACAATTTAAAAATGAATTAAAATACTAAATGACCAATTTCGGTGTAATCAATATTTTCAATACTTTGGTAATTCGATATTTTCGATATTTTCGATATTATCGGCATACCGTTTTTAAAAAATAGACGGTATACCGCCGGTAGGTTAACCGGTATAATACCGGTATATCGACCTCAAATTGGTTTACCGGTATTACCGTCACCCCTAGCTTATAGACTTTAATTTATTTGTATGTAAATCATATAAATCATAATCTAAATAAAGGGAAAAAACAACTACTTCGGTTCCTGTAAAACTTTCTGTTATTTCTTATCATGAAAAATATTTAAAAAAAAAAGTTACCACAAAATGATAATTATGTATATAAAAAATTGGATAATTTTTCAATAAATTTTTCACACTGACCCAAGTGTAAGTGTAGGCACAGCGTTTATAGTGTAGCATTGATCGTTATCAATTTAAGCCTTATCAGCTAATAGTTTAATCTGCAATTTCAAATAAATGTCGAAACACAACTCACCAAGTTCTAAATACCAAATACCAACTATTATAATCGTTTTTAGTATTTGGACTCACGAATACTGTGGTTGAGTTATAAAAATAATAAAATATATATAACAAATTTAATTTTTATATTATATTATTATATTTTATTTTATTTATATATATTTAACATATGATATTTAATAATAAATAAAATATAAAAATAATTTAAACAACCATCATCGTCGTCATCGTTTACATATACAACTGCTGGGATTTTGATAGGATTCCACAGCTCTAACAATATTTCGTCATCGGAAAAGTCACAAAACTCCATCACGTGCAATTTTTGTTTTTCTATTTCTTTTAATATTATAATTGTTAATTATTAATATTAAATATTCGATTTTGGTGATAACTCGTTGTTATCAAAATCGGGGAACTACCAGTCCCTTGAACACTATATGATAACATATATATGTTATCATATAGATATTAATGTCGCTACTATATCCGTGATACGGACACCGGGAGTGTAAACAATCATTGATAAATGATTAACAAATTACAGTACGAGTAATGCGTTCATGGACGTTCAGACTTATATTTACTTATATGATCTTGTATTAAAGAAATCAATATTTTTTCTATAAATTTGTTCCTGATGGTCGATTCATTAACTTCATTTTTAAATCGTATACGTTATTAATTTTTGTTTATTTCCAGCAGAACACAAACTATGGCTCCAGATAACTATCGATTCGCCGAAAGTAAGTATTTGAAGATTCAGATTTTTATTACTGACAGTAAAATTGCTTACTGTGTTTTAATTACTATGATAGTGAATGAAAAAAAAAACTATTTAACAGCTAATATTTAGTTACTATTGTTTTTTGATTCCTAAACTGTATATATAAGTGTATAATGTATTAATAAATTCTATCATGTGTCTTCCATCAACCCGTTTATTAATCCTAAAGTAGAACATTGATCATCCTTTTGCCATTGGACTAAGAATGTATACAATGTATAAAAGAAAAAAATGTGTTTTTGTGCTAATGAACTATGCGTTTAACAAACTGCAAAATTATTCAATTATTTGAAAAAGTATTTATTTTTGATTGTTTGTGAGAATCTTTAGCATTGTTAATAGATAAAATCTTTTGTTTTAATAGCATTTTACTTGATACATCTGTTTCATCTTATTTTTTGTACTTTGAGTAATTCGATGATTTATGAATGATGATGGATTATCCTCTTTTTCATAACATTGTTATTCTAATTTGTAATAGTTTATTAATATATGATAACATTAAGTTACCTGATATTTAATAAGGTTGACAGATATGAGAGCAAAGTAACGGATAGTTGAGGTTTTGCTGTGTATTAAGTATTTTGACTTTTGTTATTATTGTTTATTATTATTATTATTTGATTTCATAAAAATAAATTCAATACAAATGGATTTTTTTTTTAAAAATATTGTTTATATCAAATACATTTTTATTAGTTTTATTTGTATATGATCAATTATTTATTTTACATTGTTATTTAACGACAATACGACTATATATTAATATTATTATAATAATATTATTATATTATTATTATAAATAATATTATAAAATAATATAAATATAAATATAAATAATAAATATAAATTATATTTATATAATAATATAAATATAAATTATAATATTATAATATTATTATTATTTTTATAATATATATTATAACAGATCAGAATGAAAAATAGGTTTCAAAACTTATTAATTTGTTCAAACTTCTGGTTTTTATTTAAAACTGAAACTGTAAAATATTTTGTTAATTTTGAAGTTATATAATTGTTTAATCCATCTATTTATTTTTAATTATTTAATATTTAAAATATTGAATCAATATTTATGAATTTTTGACTAAAAAATTTATGTATATATTTTAAAAAATAATAATTTCTTTTATTTAGGTGATAGCTTACTTTGTTTTCATGGTCCAATGTTATATGAAGCAAAATGTTTAAAACGTCGGAAGTCAAATGATGGCAAAGCACAATATTTTGTTCACTATAAAGGTTGGAACAGTAAATGGGAAGAATGGGTAGATGATGATCGTGTTTTGACTGTAAATAATTCCAATATGAACAAAATGGCATTATTAAAAGAAATGCAGTGAGTAAATAATTTATAACAAATAACAATAGTCGGTAACAAAAAAAAAATGTTATACTTATAGTACCAATTCAAAAAAAGGTTCATCAAAACGTTCAATAACTGTGGTTAAAGAAGAAACCATTCGCAATTCAACTCCTCCTGTGAAAGGAAGAAAGCGTAAACATTCAGAAATATCTGTCGAATTAAATCAAACAGTAAATGTTCCATCTCCATCTGAACCTAAACCAAAAAAACGAGGCAATAAATTTTAATTATTTATTATTTTGTATTCTTCATTTATTATTAAAAAGTTTTTATTTGTATAGGTCGCCCTCCAAAAATTTTAACTCCTAAAATCGATCAAACGACTGAAGTTACTAAAAAAACTGAAATATCTAAACCAACTGGAGTATCTAGAGGAACTGAAGTATCTAAAGCAGCTGGAACATCTAGAGGAACTGAAGTATCTAAAGCAGCTGGAACATCTAGAGGAACTGAAGTATCTAAAGCAGCTGGAACATCTAGAGGAACTGAAGTATCTAAAGCAGCTGCAGCATTTAAAGCTGCTGAGTTATCTAAAGCACCTGGAGTGTCCAAAACAATTGGAGCTAAAGCAACTGGAGTATCTAAAGCAGCTGGAGTATCTAAAGCAGCTGGAGTGTCTAAAGCAACTGGAGTGTCTAAAGCAATTGGAATGTCCAAAACAACTGAAGTATCTAAAGAAATTAAATTATCTAAAGCAACTGGAGTGTCTAAAGCAACTGGAGTATCTAAATCAACAGGAGTTTCTAAAGCAATTGGAGTGTCTAAAACAACTGAAGTATCTGAAGAAATTAAAGTACCTAAAGTAGCTGATATTGAAACAGAAACTAAAATTCAAGAAGTTGAAATAGCCAAACCAAATGAAATAGCCATTGCAATTGAATCAACTATAGTTGGTGAATCAGCTATGGCAGTCGAATCAACTATGATAGTTGAACCAACTATGTTATCAACTATTGAATCAACTATGGTAGTTGAATCGACTACAGTAGAAAAAGAAATTACAACAGCCAAAGAAACTACAGCAGATAAAATAATTGCAGGAGATAAAGATACTTCAGCGGCCAAAGAAACTTTAGTAGCTAAAGAAACTTCAGTAGACAGAGAAACTTCAGCAGACAAAGAAGCTTCAGCAGCGGAAGAAACTACAGCAGATGAAGACACTTTACCAGGTGAAGAAATTACAGCAGTTGAAGAAACTACAGAAGTTGGTGGATCTAAAACAGCTGAAGAATGTACATCAATTGAAGAAACTATAGCAACTGAAGAAACTATAGCAACTAAAGTTATTAGATCAGCTGAAGAAACTACTGCAGTTGAAGAAATTGAAGCAGGTAAAGGAACTAAAGAAACTGAAGAAGCTGAAAGAACCGAAGAAGCTGAAAGAACCGAAGCAGCTGAAGAAACCGAAACAGCTGAAGGAACCAAAGAAGCTGAAGGAAGCGAAGCAGTTGAAGAAACCGAAGCAACTGAAGGAACCAAAGAAGCTGAAGAAACCGAAGCAGTTGAAGAAACCGAAGCCGTGGAAGTAACCGAAGCAGCTGAAGTAACCAAAGCAGCCGAAGTAACTGAAGAACCCGAAGCAGCCAAAGGAACTGAATCAATCGAAGGAACTGAAACAGCTGAAGGAATTGAAACAGCCACAGGAACTGAAGCAGTTGAAGGAACTGAAACAGTTGAAGGAACTGAAGCAGTTGAAGGAATTGAAAAAGCCGTAGAAACTGAAGAAGTTGAAGGAACTGAAGCAGCTGAAGTAACTGTAGTAGTTGAAGAAACTAAAACAACTGAAGACAATTCAGAAATTGAAGCAGCTACAGAAATGATAGAATCTAATATAGTTGATAAGGCAGTTGAATTAATTGATGAAAGTAATCATCATAAAGAAATGTATGTAATTGATGAAATCAATGAAATTGAAAAAACTGAAGAAAATAAAGGTGAAGCAATTAATGAAACTGAAGCAGTGGAAACTAGTACAGAATCAGAATGCGATGAAGTAATGGAAGAAACTGAATCTGAGATAATTTATGAAAGTGAAGCAGACCCAGATGATACATTTACGGTTCCTGCTCCAGTTCCAGTTGTAATAACTACACCAGTCATAAACATACCAGATGTGTTGAAAACAAGACTTGCTTTTGATTATGTTATTATTTCACAACAAAATAAAGTATGAGTAAAAAAAGCTATATAAATTAAATAGTTTTATTATTAGATTTCTTTATGTTTAGGTCTTAAAATTTCCAAAAGAAAATACTATACAAGAATTGATTCATAAATATACTACCGAAAAGTCCGAGTTAGAAGAAAAATGTCATTGGTAAGTATTTAATGACTAATTAATTTTTTTCCTTTCTCCCAACTATTTGTGTTCGGTTATTTAATGACTAATCAATATTTTTTTCAATATGTAATGTTATTTTTTTTTTAGGGAAAGATCATTTAATATTGGTTTAACTTTAATACAGTATTTCAATGTTCTAATACATAAAAATTTGTTGTACCAGGAAGAAAAGAAATATCAGATGAGGAAAAAGGCAATTTAAAAAACATACAAGGAAATTATGTTTGTGAAATGAATAGGCTTTTATTTTAAGGCACTAAATACTTCTTTATAAATTATTGTCTGTTAATTAATAATAAATTATAATAATTACTATTACCTAAGTTTTAATACTAAAAAATATAGAAATGTGTAATAATATTGTTCATAATAATGCTTTTTAAAATGCTCTATTATAAAAATTAACTCAATTATGAATATTACAACATATTTAACTATTGAGCTATCAAATTAAGAAAGAAAAATAATACAAGTAATAAAGTAGTTTAAATATTAGGTAAAATAATTAAATATCACGAGAAAGTGGATTTTTAGGTTTTTAAAAGTCTAAAATAGGATTCTAATATGCTCTGAAAAAAATATTCTCTTAATATTTTTTGAACATGTAAAATATGCTATAAATATGATTTAATTTTAATTTTAAATAGTTTTTAGATTGTAGGCAGGTTACAATTAGTGATGGGAATAATTAATGAAATAATCGAATCATTTGATTATTTAAAAACCATTTGATTAATCGAATACATTCAATATATAATTCAATAATATATTTTTAATTTAAAGGATTTCACACCTGCATGTGTTGTACAACAGCAATTTTGTGTTCAGTAGTTCAAATTTAGTAATGTTAGCTTTAATATTAGAGTGAGCTAACCTATAATCATAAGGAATAATAATAATATTAAAAAATTAATAAATTATTATACTAATATAATTATGTTTAAAATGGGCCTGGCCCATATAATTGTAATAAATAAATAAATATATAAATGATTGGTCAGTTATAGTTCTAATTCTAATCATCACATTTGAAATTTTGAATGAAAATCTGCTATGTCAGCTTGTCAGATGGAGATAATACATATAACGTCTTCTTAAATGTGGCGTCCTCTTAAATTCATAATTTAAAAATGTTCTTTATTATTTATAGTTCTAGAAATAGATATTAGTATATTTATAGATACATACTTTACTCTTTATTTTATTGTACAATGTTGTCTAAAAATTATTATGAGATTAATTCTGAATTTTATTAATTATAATAGTCAATATTCGGAACTCAGAAGCAATATTAAATAATAATATAGTTTAGTTATATAATATAGTTATATTATATAATATATAATATAATATATATTATATAATATAGTAGTTGGTCTTTACACATTTTTTTTAAACATCTGGGCTTTATATGGGTACAGTTTTGATGAAGTTAACTATTTCAATAACAGATAGCAAGACTTCATTAAGGCTTGAATTATAATTTTTGAAGCGAGCATACAAATATAGGATGCGCGGACTTACATGACCAAAAAGAAAAAGATAACAAAAACTATATTATATTACAATTTTATTTTTAGTTTCTACTGCGAACGTGGCTCCCTTGATAATAACCGAAGACGCCCCTGGGAGCTGCGATGCACAGGTTGAAAACTACTGTTATAGTTTAAACATTATTAAAGAAAAAATATAAAATATTGATATAAAGTCAAAAATGTCACTTGTTCTCTCAAAATCTAATACATAATATTGGATTATAAGTATTTTAAATACGTTATTAATCAATATTCTAAAATAATTTTGTTTTTAAAGATAAATTATGATTACATAATCAGTCTTTTATTAGTATCAATATCTGTTGTGTGCTATTAATTATTATTTCTTTATTACAGGCAAAAAAACATTTGCAACATAAAATTAATTCTCGTGAAATAAAATCAATCCTATACAAAAATCTCTTGTATCCTAAAAAACTATGGCATTACGTATATGGACCTACTCATCTACTGCGGATGTTTGGTTAGTATCAAAATAAAAGTATATTTCATTTTTAATGGTTTTTCGTGTTTTGTTTTATAAAATTTCATAAAAGTTATTTATTTAATTCAATTAAAATACTAATGAAAAATAAAACTCTCCTACTGTTAGGAAACTAATTTATTTTTATTAAATAAAATTAAGGATTAGCATTTCTGTTTATTTCCAGTGTATATAAATCTAAAGCTGAGACTTAAACAATTTCTTATAATAAAAGATGATTTTTAATCAAGTAGTTTTATCATTACTTGAACTTTTATGAAATTTATAAATATTTGTTTTTCAGTTGAATTACCTGAAATTTTATCAACGTTCACTTATACTGATGAACAATTAGCTTTCATTTCAGAAAATTTGGAAGATTTTTTGAAGTAAGTATACATTTTTAATTACTGAAGTTTTTATTTTGGATGTTTCAATTTAAAATTTAATTATGAAAATAAGTAAAAGTAATATTTATTAATAAAACTATAATAAAGTAATTGTTTGTAATCAACATGATTGTTGGAAGCTTTTAACTCAATAAAAATAATTTAAATTTAGTTTGACCTACAAAATTAAGTGCTGTTAATTATTTAATAATTCTTATCAAGAGAATGATCTATTGTACATATGTTTATATTTATTATAATTATATTGAAATGAAAATTATAAACACCTTTAATTTTTAGCATTGAGATTTATTTTCCCAACATTTATTATACAATATTTATTCTGTTCAATATTTTCATACAAACATTAACTACACTTTTGTTTTTCAGGTATCTTGAAATAAATTACGATACATATTTCACAGATGATGACTATATAGATATAAAAAATACGTCTTAAGATATCATATTTAATAATTGGAAAAATAATTATTTATATATATAAGCGAAATGGAAATTTACTTTGAATATATTGAATATATTAAATGAATATGTATATATATTATATATATGTGTGTATGTATATTATTTAAGATAATTAATTGGTTAATTTTATCTTATTTTTTTTAATTTATATTTATGTGTATAAATACTATACATTAGTACAATAATGTATATTAATTAATATATCCGATGATTATTTCAAAATCATGTTTTGTTATTATTTTCTAATTTTTATGAAAAATTATATAAGTATTTACATCTGTGGCTTAAACACTATGTAACATAGAAAACACAGCGTCAGTATATCTAAAATATTTTCTAATACGTCTCAATCCCAATTCGTTCAATTTACAATCTAATTTTAAACTTAAATATTGACTGCTTTCACAATTTAAGTATGTCCATGATTAAGGCATAATCACAATAATCATAATCAGAAAATGGGAAATGTTAGTCACATAACACAGGAGAAAGACCTTGAGATTTCACAAAATAGGTTCCTGTGTAACAGATCTAATTCACAAGAAAATCGATTATGTTTGGTTGATGGTTAAAAAATTTCTCTTCAAATATTTAGAAAAAAAATATTCACCGATTTGAAACAAGAACGACACCAACGCACTTGAATTGCATACATAAAGCGCCGTTTTACTTATATTTTCATGCATCAAGTAAAATTAATCTGAGTATCATTGCTGCAAATAGGATTCTCGAGAGCGACATATATTTGTTAAAATATGGTTATAAAGAAGTATTGAAAAACATAAAGATAAATCAATATTTAAATTTTAACCATATATTACATAAAATACATTATATAAACATAATGATGATTATGTATAAATATAATGTGTAGTATAGTCCGTGTTCATTATTCATATTTAATATATAGATTGTAATATTTATGTCTTTTATAGTGATATAAATTATATTAATGATTCAGTAATCTTATTTTTACAACAATGTGCCAAGATTCAACAGTTGATCATCACGACTGATATATAATAATATAGAAGTAACTCATGAGCATACCTATATTCGCATAATTATAATAAACTATATATCTGAGTTATGGGATAACGGCAAGCCCGGACTATCTATGATTTTTAGGGGCCCAGCGCCAAACAATTTTAGGGGCCTATAACTATAATCAAAATATTGGTGATCCACACATGAATATATTTCAAAGACAAAAAAAATATTATATTCTAATTTATAAATTTATTTCTTGCTTTTTTAAATACAAAAATAAAAATATTATTTGTATAAATAAGTTTTTCTGTTTTTTGGGAAACAAACCTTTTAATTATATAATCGCTAGTAATTGCCTCCAAAACATCACTCGCTGAACACAAAAGCATAAAACTATTTAAATTTTCTTGAGAACTGCTCGTTCTATACTTGTTTTTTTATACGAGCCAAATAAAGAGTTAAAAAAACGAAAAAAACCTACTATCCGCTAGGGGCCCACTATTGTTTGATATCTGTTGTGGGCCCGGGGCCATAACCCCCCTGCCCCCCTCCTTAACCCGTGATTGGATAAGGGTGGGGCAACTGATTAAATTTGCCGGCTTCATAATATTTAAAAATTATGGGTACCTATATATTTAAATATTTATGGACGATAGACTGTCAATAAAATATTTTTTCGAAATAAAACATGGAAAAAAAAACAAGAAAAACAAAAAAACAATAAAACAAGGATTAGTAATGAATAATGATGTCATGATGCAAAACAAAGAACATGAAACGTTTCAATTTACCCAATTAAATATTAACCTTAAAGATAGTAAAACATTAATTTATTTACTTATCCTATAGGCTATAATTTACCTATCAATAGGTTTAATGGAATAATAATATAAATCTTATTAAATAAATATTTATAATTTTGTATTTATATATTTAATAATTTAAAGAACTTATTTATAAAAACAAAAAATTGTATCTCAAATATAATGTATCGTAGTTTGGGGGGAATAGGTACGATTTTAACGGTTTTTTTTTTTTTTATAGATTATGAGCTCAATTATTATGGTGTAAAATCCAAGTTATTATTTTAAGTGTTCTTATTAAATTATTCAAATACATCTTCGTACGTAACGTTGTGATTATAACTATGTATAAATTGTGTCATCATTAAATATAGTTGTGAGTAACTAGTATTAGTAAGCATTCTTCGCATATTTATCAAGTCGCTACAGACTACAACAATATTAAGTTAGACTTAGGTCTATTTACTTAGTATATAAAATTAAAAAATATTAAAAATATTAAAAATATTTCAACTAAATCTGTTTAATTTGTAAAAAAATAAAAAGTTCTTTATTTGGCACTTGGCACGTTTTTACTTATACATATTGAAGTGACTTAACACGTTTTAAAATTTTTTTGGTATAAGATTTTTTTTTTAAATCAAGGAGTGAAATAAAATTTTTATTTTGCATTAATTGGGTAAAGTATAAGTTAATAAAGGGTTTTACATTTTTATTGACTTATATTTTTACATTTTTCCTTTGGTTTAACAAAAATTGTGAATAACTCAAAATCAACTTTTTGACACTTAGCCCGTTATTGATTTCAAGTTCTCATTTCTTATTATAATATTATTGTGGAGTCCACAATCATTTTTTCTATTCTTATAATTTTTATATAATCTTCTTCTTTTTTTTTTTTTAATTTATTTTATTTGGTTATTTATTTATTCCCGAACAAATGTCTTACAAACATTTTGAAATTTTGCTTTCAAAAATATAAAAAAACAATTTTGAATTTCTTCAAAATAATCCTTTAATGAAATATATAATAAGATTACATTTAATAAATCAATATTTTATAATTGAAGTGCTTTCGAAGTTGCTTCAAAACATTTTAAAATTGGATACCATGCTGTACACGGTACAAACAACGCTTGTTCAGATATTATAGATACATTCAGTGCTATAGCTTATAATTTTATATTTTAAAATATTTTATTCGATTTAATATTGATAAAACACGTGTACAATATGTAATATTTGTATTACAAAAGTTATGTCGCCACCAAAATTTTGCCGTCCTGGAGTAAAAGCTTCTTTTGCACCTATATTAATTCGACTCTTTTAATAAGATTATAAAACACAACACCATAAGATATACATTTGCCGCGCGTTATAAATTGCTTGATGCAGATTTATGAACCGTGAGCGGAATGTCCTTACTCCATATTATATTTAAGACTTGAGAAAAAATGTATAATCAAAAATATAAGTGCCGTCATCTATCATGAGTAGTATGTAATTGTAACACTGTAATAGTATCTACTATAATATAACAACTTATGCAAATAATTTATTATTCTATTTTGGAATTAATATTTTATTTTTTAACAAATAAGTTAATAACATATAATTAAATGTAAACTATTATTTGTTATAGTTTTCACATAAATATATGAGTTTTTGGTAAATAACCCAAATAGAATTGTAATAATTAACCAAGGATTAAGTGAAAAAATAGTAAAACCTATCTTTAGCTAATTATCAGGCTTTTATGGGAGTATACAGTAGTAAATAAAGCATACTAAAAATTATATTTTACTATTCTTTGTAGTTCAAATTATATAATACAATTTAATATTGGTATTTACCTACAATTTATTGATTAATTCATGATATTATAGTATCCAACAATCTACAAGAATATGTAAAATAAAAAAATATACTCTTAAACAACTATATTTATAATTAACAAAGAAACAGAAATATTGTAAGATTCATCAAGCCAGAAAACTTGATTATTCTAAATAACCAAATAAGTAATATTATTAAATATAATAATAAACAATATTATAACGAGAAAAAAAAAATGCTCGACCGCCTAAAAGATAATATTTCTATAATAAACCATTAATAATTGACAAATTTATAGAATGAATGTCAAGACCCTTATACTAAGGCATTCAGTACTATTTCTTATCTGTTATTCTGATGGGATTGAGTGGTACGTTCCAATCTTTCAAAACGTTTACGAGCATTTTTTATATTTAACAAAGTTGCTGCTGATGGAATTCGTGGATCAGATATAATAACCATAATGTAAGTGTTGGTTGTAAATAAATCAATAAATGCTGCAAAGTTGGAGTTTCTAACTTCCATGCTTTGAAACTGAGCAGCTACTTTACTACAACTGAGCTTAAATTGTTTTATGATATTGGACACTTTTTCAAATCTATGAATATCACGATGTAGATTACGTTGGCAATGAGATATTACAAGAAATGTGGCGCGTTCAAACAATAAAACTTCATCACCATCCATGAGTTCAGCAAACAGTTTTAAGCTTTGTTCAAGTTCTTTGACATTTGGTATTAATTTATACACAATTGAAGACCAAGCTCTATACAATGTTTCATCCCAAATAGATGTCTTGAAACAAATACACTTTACAGGTTTAGACATGTTAATAATTTCATTTTCACGTTCAGAAAATATTTTATCCCTTTGATCTTCTTGCAGCAAATCCATTTTATGTATCAAACAGAATACCTTGGCGGATGGAGAATTTTCATAAATCGCACTGAGACATGTCTGATAATATCTTAAATCCCTTTTGAGCTCTTCATCTCTGCTTTCCACATCAAATACATAAATGAGCACTTCTACGTTGCGAAATATATTCTCTCGTTGACTGACGAAATAGTTCTCCATGAAAGCTTCTTGTCCTCCACAGTCCCACAAGTTGAGCACTAGGTTGCCCAGAAACCGTACGTGAGAGTGTTCAACATCAATGGTAGCTCCCAATCGCCTGGTGTCCTTTGCTATGTAGTTAGCGAAGATGATTGATCGCATGCTGGTCTTGCCAGAGCCGCTTTTGCCCATCAACAATACCTTTTTCTTCATTTTAAATTTCCGTTCACACACTCACAAGGGATTTATTTCACGAAATTGGTGGCGAGCCGTCCGGACGGTAAAACGGAAAAAATTCGTCTAGTTGTAGTTTTGTAGGGACGTCCACTGCCGCGGTTCAATCACTTTAAAACGAAATGAGGATTGAAAAGTGCTCGCTCGGTAACATTAAACCTAAGACATCGGACTGCTGAAAATCGAAACGGCTACAAGTATTACGTACGTCGTTAACCGTAACCACCGATTTTATAGTCTATTATCTATGATAGCGTATCGGACGTCGAGTAATAATTTGTTTCTTAATAGGTATTTTAATTGTTTTTCGTGCGGCCGTGACCGTTAACAACCGGCAGCGCCATAGACATAATATATGTCATGTCTATAGGCAGCGTGATAAGAGTCGTTGCTTACCCATGGCCGAGGTGAAAGACGGTGATAACGAATTTTGAGGTTAGTTTTTGCTCGACCTAATATGATTTACGAGTGTAACGGCCAATTCAGTTAGTTCGTTACATTAATGTGAACGTTTTAGTTTCGTACTCTGTATTTCATATTGAGCCTAGTGTATTGCCGAGTGTTTCGCAAAACATTCGTCGTCGACGATCGCGAATCAAAGCTAATCGCCAATTTTCGGTACATTTTGCCATGTTTTAGTCGGCCGGTTTTCGAATAAATCGTCCATGCTATTCGGCACAATGTTTTTCGCCAAATCGCTGACGCTTTTTCTTGGCGTACTTTGTGTAGGTTGCACGTCTGGTTCGAAACTCAATGTTCCCCGCGTGCTGTTGCCCGTGTTCGACGCGTTCACGGTGAATTTCAACATAGAAGCAACAGACGACGGTTGCTACAAATGGTTTGTGCCAATCCAAATGTTGTGTTTGCCGAACCGACAGTAATGCAATGTTTTTCCAGGTCGATATTTCGCGGGGACAGCATCATCAAACTCGTCCCGTTGGACGTAAATCCGACGTTAGGATGTTCAGGCAAAGCGTCTGTGTCCTCTGTATCCAACGAGAAGATGCGTCAGATAGCAATTATCTTTGCAGAAGATGCCAACTCTGGTGAAACAATACGTTGTGATGTTATTGTTGATACTATAGCATCTTTGCACATCGTCACAAAAACCAGAGAGCTATTTGTTGGAGACGCACCTGAGCTGTTTGAAGTATCTGCATTTGATGACCAAGGTACTCTTGGGATACAATATTTTTAACATTTAAATTAATTTTTAAAAAAGATAATTATTATATTAGAACATATTTATTAATATATATCTCTATATCAACTTTCAATATTTTTTTCTTAAGTTACCTTAAATTGTCAACTATTGATTGGTTAACTTTAATTATTATTTAATACATAAGTGAAAATATAGAAGTACTTGGAAACTAATTATTGACACTTAATAAATTAATTTTGCATTAATTCAATTATAATATTTCTCTTGTAGGAAATCAGTTTACAACATTAGATGGTGTAGAATTTCAATGGTCATTAAAAGTTCTAAGAAATCCAATAAATAAAGTCTTAAGATTTATATCATTCAAAGATTCTTCGTACCGAACTCCTCCAGACCTGTATGAATTAGATCAAAAAAATAGACAAGGTCATATGGTCCTTGTTGAAGGAGTTAAGACTGGTTCAGCATTAGTATGTTTATTAATATTTTTTTTAAAAAATGAATATTCCATTTTTAACCAATAATTAATTTAGGTTTCCGTAAAACTATCTGCATCTGAAAAACCCTCTACACAAGTTGAACTATCAGTCATAGCAAATTTAAGACTTGAACCTTCACATGTTACCATCTTACCTGGTGATCTTATCCAAATAGATATTTATCAAGTAATTGATTTTTAATTCTTTTATACATATGGTTTTAAATGTTTTGTTAAAAATATTATTGTATAAATTATTTTTATTAGATACAAAATGAAAAATTAGTTAAAATTCAACTACCATCCAATCAATATTATATTGAAACCGATCCATCTACAAAATCTAATCTACTGAAAATTGAAAATGATTCTGGTCTCTTCCAAGGTATTAAAAGTGGTCAAGTCAGGCTAAATTTAATAGATATACATGCTGAATCTAAAAATGATACTATTCCTAAATCTATCAGCAGTTTTGTTAGTATTTCCAAAGCAGATTATCTGTCAATTGTTGTTAAACCATACAACCGCCATAATTTAATTATTGATAATTTATATGAACTGGAAGTTCATCTATTTAACAAGTATAGTATATTTCAAATGAATGAAATGTATTTTAATTGTTTAATTTTTTTTTTTTTTTTTTTTTTTTTTAGCCATAATCAATCAATTAACATTGGACCCAATGTGTTAATTATGATGAATTTACCTGAAGAATATTTCAATATTTTAAGTACTGTCATTAATGGATCATATGTTGTTGTCCAACCAATTAAATTGGGAACACCAAAAATAGAAGCATCATTAATGAAACCTTATTATGATATCAGATCTTCAGTTAGTACTACTGTAACTATTTATTCAAAAGTGAAAGTTACTCCGCATATTCTTGTGTTTCCATGGCATGCAAATCAAAATGATGGGTAATTTATTCTTTTAAAGTATATTGAATTCATATTTTAATTTATTATTTATATTTACCTTGAATTTATTAACTATATACAGTAGAATCCGCTTAATTGGGACATTGCATATAGGGGACAACCGTTTAATAGGGACAGATTGGCATAGTTCCGAACAAATGTGTTTGTCTAAGGCAATTTAACTTTGTTTATTTGGGACAAACCATGAGTTTTAAAGAACAAAAATAAAAGCATCTAATTAGATACTCTGAGCTAAATTATCTACTTTCTTATAAAAACTGTAATTGTCTAATATTTATGGCTCTATTATATAGGTAATGTTAATTATGTCAATCATTTTTTTTCTTCTACTACCATGATAAGAGTCGACTAGCCTACGTAAAAAATCGAAAAACTTAAGTTTACATTCTTTCGTCTTTGTGTATTATCGTATGTGTGTTTTTATTGATCCCAGTTTGTGTTAAAATGTAACAATGTCTCGTAAAGAGTTAACGTTGATCCTTAAATACTAGTCTTTGTGAGTTAGAGAAATTAATAGGCACGTCTAAATCGGTACTAAGTTAATTGAAGAATAATGAAAAAGCTATTCATGCATTTGATATAATAGGTAATACTAAATAGTAAATATAATTTACTATTAGTAATAATAATAATACTAATAATAATATTTAATTTTTAAATTAAGTATGTATTTATGTATTTTTTTAATAAAGTTATTATGTATGTAAATGTATGCACTTCAATAGTTTCGGTTTATTAGTTATTCGGTTAATCGGGACAGTCAGATAATGGGGACAAATAGGTCATCGCCTAATGTGTCCCAATTAAGCAGATTCTACTGTACATAAAAATATTTGCTTACATTTATTGTATACTTATTCCATAACTAAATATTTAATCAAAATGTTACTAAACCTATTATTTTCATTGTTTTCCTAAAATGGTTCAGATTATATAACTTAATTATAACTATTCTAAACTTGTGTAATATTTGTTGATTATGAATAATAGTTTTAAGTAAATGGTGTTTATTTAAATATATAATAGATTTATTATTATATAAATATTTAATTGATGTATATATTTTTAAACTGTTAGGTTACAATTTGCATTGAAAGCTTCTGGCGGAGATAAAAAATACAGTTGGGATACTAAAGATGCAACTGTAAGTACTGTATCATCAACTGGACTTATCACTGCTCAAGGATTAGGAAAAACATATGTTTCGGCCACCATGACAAGAGATTCATTAAATCAAGATGATGCTAGTATTTATGTACTTGTACCAGAAGACTTGAAAATAATAGCTCAGTCAGTAGAACAAGAAGTAGGCAAACCTATTATTTTACATATACAATTATTTGTGAAATTACCTGACAGAGAAAGAACTGTCTGTACAGCATGTAATCATAATCAATTTAAAATTGAAATAGAAGATTCTCAATTTACACTTAAGTATTTGGACTCTAATTCTCTGGTAAATGATTCCTGTGCTACATTTGCTTTAAGCTCGCAGTCAGTTGCATCTACAAAAGTTACTGTCTCTTTTCATACAACTAATTCAGTTTTAAAAGCAATGGTTATTGTGAGTACTTATAAAAAATTAGTTCCACTGCGTCCAGAATCTAAACGTACAGTTTTAGCACCGGGTTGCTCAACTACTTTGTTGTTTTATGGTGGTCCACAACCTTGGTTGGGTCATAGTGCTGGTTATAAAGTAGATTTTAAAGTTGATGAAAATCTTGTAACATTCAATGAACTTACTGTGATTCGTGATGTTGATGGACATAAGACTTATGCATACACAATTACTTGTGAAAATTTTGGATCAACTAAAGCTAATCTAACTATTAAGAGTATTCCAGTCGTTAATAGATTTAAATCAGAAATAATTTCAAAGACATCAGTAGAAGTGTTATGTGCTTCACCAAAGTTTGTCAAAGTATTTGCCATTGATACTGAAAATAATTGTCCACTTTCCAAAATACCTAATAATATTGTTGCTTATATACATGAAAAACTATTTGTTCGAGTTAATGTGATGGATGAAGATGGTAATATTTTTGATAATGCTACAATGATAAATGCAAGTTGGATTATTGCAGATTCTGAATTTGTAAGGGTTGTCAAATCATTTGATTTAAATGAAATCACTGAGTATGGTTTTTCATTTCCTAATTATCATTATAGTGTTTTACTACCTTTAAGTAAAGAGGGTAATACTGAAGCTATTTTTGAGTTAACAGGGTACAAAAAACAATTTCTTGTTCCAAATAACTCTCCATTTGGTTCTTTTTTAACATCTAATGAAGAAGTGTTAGATATAGTTCCAAAAATTAAATATTCTGTGTCACTCCTTTTATTTGATGATCCTCGTTTAACACATGAAGACATGCTAGTTATTCATAGTCCAAGAATTACAAAATCAATTTATGGCCATCAAGGAAGTGGATATTTTAAAATAAATTTGAGTACACAAAAAGTAGCTAAAGTAGTACATACTGGAGGAAGACAAATAGACATAAGTCCATTATCTTCAGGAGATTTAATAATAAGCATTAACGATCTATGTGTCAAATCTAAGCCAGGTGAAGCTACATTTAAAGTGCGAGATATCTATCGAATGGAATTATTAACAAATACTTTTGTTGAAATTGGACAAACCATAAGAGCTATAGTAAAACTGTACGATTCTGAAGGTCATCCTCTTCCTATTCAACCAGAAGTAGTCAATATTTTACCTACAGTTGAAATAAATTCTTTACTATCAATTAAACCAGAACCTAGTAAAGCTGATCAAATATATGAGGCAGAGTTTTCTATTACAGGATCTTTGTTGGGGAAAACCAATTTATTTTTCAGTACTTATGTGTTTCCTACAAAAGAAATTCGTACATCAACTTCTTCTATTCATGTATATTCTCAACTTCAATTATCTCCTAAAAATTTGACTTTAGCTGTTGGTTCAAGTTATCAACTAATAGTTTCTGGAGGACCACATTTAGAATGTGTATTTGAATTTATGTCCGATGATGATAGAGTTACCAAAGTATCAAATGAAGGAATTGCAAAAGGTTTAAAGATAGGAACTGTTACGATTACTGGTATGGCTGTTGGTGTTGATGTGATAAGCGGAATGAAAGTAGTTTACTCAAAAGATACAATTTCAATTAGAGTTATTAAATTAAATAATATAAAAATTGAAGCGCCGTTATTCAAGTTAAAAGTTGGAGAAGTGATGCCAGCTTGGGTTCGTGGTGTACCTGATGCTCTAAGCCCAATTATAATTGGCACTATTCAACCATCACTAGTATTCCATTGGACCACATCGTCTACTGGTATTGTTCAAATTTATGACATTTTAGAGAATACGGGAATATTGGTGATTATTTATAAAAGAAAAAATAAATATCATTTAAATAATATATTATTATTTAATTGTTATGTATTAGATACGCGAACAAGATAGAATATCAGTTCGTATTCGTGCTGTTAAAACTGGAAATACAAGAGTTAGTGTTTCTGTATCGGATCCATCTACAAAAGTTATTTTTACTAACTTTATTGATGTATCTGTTTATGAAGAAATGCATTTGATTTCACATAGTTTGTTATTAAATAGTTTGATAGTAACTCCAAATACTGAATTCACTTTAATGACAAATAAAAATAAAGTAAGTTTAGTTATTATTAAATTATATTATATAATATATCATATAAGTAGTTTTATATATTCCTATTTTTTTTTCTAGGTAGCCAAACAATCATTTCGAGTAGTAGATAGCTGTAAATTTGATAATTACAGTGATACTCTTGATATATCGGTAGATGAAAATTCTGGGATTGTTAAAACAACAAATGAACTTGGGCGTGCTCATGTATTCATTACTTCTACAGAAGATTTAAATATTGTGCAATCTTTAGATGTACCTATTGAAGTAAAACGAGTAAATTATGTGATGATTAATATTAAAACCGAT